AGTTGATAGACGTGCTCGTCAATGTTATCAATACGAAAATGCTTACATTTAGAATGGCTATTATGTCAATTCACTTGATTCATGAAACATCGTCATACTTAGAAAAAACTTATTTCTTTTGTTAGATACATCTTCAATGCATAATTGTTTTTTCTCTTAATACCAATATATACGATACATGTTGAGTTATATTTTCTTCGAAAATATACGCGCTTCATCAATTTATTATTGGAAACTGAATTATTCATCTTGTTTGTTTGTTTTTACTTTCTATTAAGTCTTTAATTAGAATCTTTTACTACTATAGTATTTAGATGAATTACCGGAGAATGATTGATGGAAAGAATAACGTCTTCACATATACTTAGTGTTCGTTTTCGTAATTTTTTTCTTTTCCCTCTCTGCTACGAGTTGCCTTTTTGTTCAGCAATAACTCCGTCCTCATTTCAATCGAATCATAATAGTCAGATTAAATGACTATTTCAACTTACAATAGTTTTGATAGATTATAAAATTTTGTTTTGTACTAAAATAATAAATTTCTCATGGCTATAATAAACAAAAAAAGATTGTAAAACGTTGAATAAAATGATTCTTGCCTTTTCACAATGCATTGTTGACGACCAAAAAACAACGATTAAATGTTGTTTTGTAGAAGAAACATTATTAATAAACGATAACGATCATCTAAAAGAAGAATTTTGTATTTTTCTGTTTTTTTTCAAAAATAAATTACTTTTTTAGTTTGTTCCGTAAATAATCATCATGTAAATGTAAAGATTTAAAATCTTTTTAATAACCTTGATGAATTCATGTTATGTAGATGAATAAAGATCACACTTTCATACCAATTTTTATTCAGCTAGCAAGACGATCCTGAAAAAATAAATAATTTGATAAAACTGTATGTCTTCGAATAAATAAATCTAATGTGAAAGAATAAAAAAAAACAATTGAATAATAAAAACATACTTGTTTGTGTTGGTCTATTCTGTGCTCATTACTGATAATGTGAGCCACAATCGTTTTTTTTTCTTTTGTTCGTTCTTTCTCGTGTTCTGTTAAGACAGCGGAACATATGAGAGAGAGAAAAAGAAAAAAGAAATAGGTCAAGAGAGGAATTTTCTTTTTTGTCTTCTCTCGCCTATAAGTCATTGTTCATGTTATCATTGATGATCAATGATAACATAGCATAATTAATTTATATATCAATTAAGCTTTATCCATACACATACATTAAGATAGTTGTAATTGAATATATCTCAATGTACGTGTGTCCCGATTAAAGCTTAATTGAAATCAACTTCTAATTATTTTTCGACAACAAAAAAAAATGATTTTTGAGGGCATATATATGAATGATTTTCTATGTAAAATCATTCAAATTTTTGAATCAAATAATAATAATTTTTCTTTTCTGTTTTAGATTGGCTTCAACCAAACAACATGAAACAATTCAACAACAAACCAGACAATAAAATAAAATGTAGGTATTAGTTTTACTTTTCTTTTTCTTTTTCTTTTTTATTTAATGATTATAAGGATGGTGGGTAAGGCCTCCTTTGATCTTTTTATTATTGTTTTTTTTTCATTTTAGGGAATAAACAACGAAGAAAAAGATAACATTAGGGTAAGTCATCTCATTCTGTTTCATTATATAACATTAATTAAATTTTTTTTCTGTTCCTTTCAGCTATCAATATCATCGCGTCATCAACATCAGACACGGTAAGTAATTTTTTTTTTTTTTTTGAGATGAGAATAGATAGTGAGATTGAGAGGATTAGGGTGAGACTAAGAATAGTGAGTGTTAGTAGAGAGTGGGTGAGTCATTTCCATTGAGGTTAGGTCCCTGTTAGTTACAGGCCTTCCGGATAGGCCCTAAAAACCCGGCCAGGAACTGTCTTGGTGTCCATGGCACACGACCAGGCTTATTCAGACTCATTGACATATCTCTCGCGGGAAGGGTATGAATGATATGAGTCTGTCCTGTGCGTGTATGAGCGTTACGCTCGCCACGGCTCCACCAGGATGGTTCCTGGTCGCGAGCGTGCGAATAGAATGGATATTTATTTCATCAATTACACGTGATTTATTTGAAAGGAAAGGAACGCACAAAAAATTATTCATTGTTTTGAGTCTATCGGATTGAAAAGCGTTGAACACGATGATGCCGCCGATCGACGACATAAAGATTGCCATGTCGATCGAAGGACAAACCCTCGGGATAGTTGAACTGATTTGCTCCTTCTCCTGGACCATTTCCACCCACAATGACAGTGCCTTGTTTCGCTTCTTTAGGCCAACGCATCACTCGATGATTCGCCGAGTCTGCCACATAGATGGTACCCAATGTATCGACGAACAGTCCTCGAGGATGTGACAATTGTGTCAGAGCATTCCCTTTGCCTTGACCTCCAGCGACGACAATTCCTTCTTTTGCACCTTTATTCCATTTCATTACACGATTATTGTTCGTGTCTGGCACGTAGACAGTCTGTTGTTGATCGACAAAGATGTAGGTCAGAGAGTTGAGTTGATTGAGACCAGCACCTTGGCCATTGCCACCAGCCACGAGAGTTCCATTCTTATCTTCTATTTGATATCGTCTTACTTCATGTTCTTCGATGTCAGAGATGTAGAGATATCCCTGATCATCCATGGCCAATCCTCGACAAGCGATGTTGTCGATGAGGATTTCTCCTTGAGTTGTACCACTACGACGAGACCATCGTACAACTCGTCGATTCCATCGATCACAAATAATGAGACTATCCGTCTCTTTGTCAACCAACACATCGGTTGGACCGTTCAATTGATTCAATTGATTTCCTTTGCCATGACCACCAGCTCCTACTTGTCCATTCGTATCACCCATCTTCCATTGGATGATACGATGATTCCAGCAGTCAGCGATGACCATCGTTTGATCATCATCAACGAAGAGACCATAAGGCCAGTTGAGTTGATTGGTGGCATTGCCTTCTCCATGACCTCCAGCAACAGTCACACCATTCTGTTTCCATCGGGCAGTAGCTGGAATATTAGGAATTACCACAATGAACAAAAAAGAAAAGAAATCGTCGTTGTTGAAGGGATCTCGTCTCTCGTGAGAGAAAGCGTTACAAATACGACATTCATCTTTGAGAATGCTCGTTCAGCAGATAAAAATTCAGAAGTCTTTTCCTGGTTTTCTATGAGAAAAAAGGCTCTGGTAACGATTCTTACATCTATGTCACTTTTAGTTCTTGCCAAAATCTTTTTGATCGTAAAAACAACACCTGGAGATTGCTGTGAGGAGCTCCTCAAAGAAAGAGTGATGCTAATTCCATCTAAGCTTTTGATAGAAAAACATAGCAGAATCTTTTTGTAGGATGATCATTTATATGAATATCAGAGAAGAATTTAAGTAATGAAATAATAAACTATGTGAGACTGCTAAACTGAGAAAATTCTGAGAAGATTCCATCTATATCTTGTTAGGAGCATGTTGAACAACAAATGTCAAACGTAATTTTGTATGGTTCTGTGGAATCTTAAGTATTCAGTATGTATCTTTGAGGATGTTTTTCACATTATTTTCTGAATGATGAATGCAGATCTGCCGAAGTATCTCTTAAGTATTTGCATAGAGTACGTCGGTGAGATTTCACTAAATTTTTGTCAACTTATATCAACTCAGGTCAAAAAAATCAGATCTAAGATCTTGTGGATCAGACGAAACAATATGAAAAAATGTACAAAAAATCGTAGTCTTAGAGATCTTACTACCTTGTAAGATATCACTATAAGATAATAGGAAATCTCATGCGATAGTAAGATCTTTCAAGAATCTTATCTCAGGTCAAAACAATGGATGTCAGATCGTATCAGATCTTACAAGATTCTGTATGATCTGTCGTGTTGTTTTATTCGAGAATTGTTGATTAAATAGTTTCTGTTATAAAGAAATGTACAAAATACAAAATTTTCACATAATAGAGAACGTTTTTCTACACAAAATATTTCGAAAGAAAAAATATCGATGTCGAAGTTTTTCTAAGACTATTAGGAGATGAAAAATAAAATTTTTTTCTATGTATCCTCTACTATATACTGGAACATATATTTTTTGTATTCTTTATTTGTCTATATATCCCCCTGGAAAAAAATAGTTAGACTCGGTATTTTCGATATATTATTACTATAAATTGACATTTTGAGAAAAGTAATTATATATTCGGATAGCCCGTGGACTTCTCTACAACTTTCTATGTATAAGTTTTGAATTGCATTTGTTTCCTAGAAATAAATTCAAGAAGAATATATACTTAGTTTTGTAATAAATTGTTTATCTATTGAAATAAATTTGAAAAAATCAATGAAATGCAATTCAAAACTTATACATAGAGAGTTGTAGAGAATTCCACGGACTATCCGAATATATAATTACTTTTCTCAAAATGTCAATTTATAGTAACAATATATCGAAAATACCGAGTCTAACTATTTTTTTCCAGGGGGATATATATAACATGTAAATTATCATCCAAAATCGATTATACTTAATAGACATTCACTATTGTTCAATATCAAAGTAAAATAAATAACATAGTCGATATCAGTACAAAACCTACAACAGAACATACACTAATGCGTTTAGTTCATCAGGGATGCATTTTTCATGAATACTTTTCTTTAAGCTGTAATATCTCTGATTTGACGTATTTTCTATATTGATGCCAAATATACTATTCAATTTGGTCTAACATATAGCTAGGATCAAAAAAAAGAATCGGCGAAATACACCAATTCATTTTTCAAAGTTTTCTATGATTTTATGATTGAAATTTAAAACAATCTATTTTCTCCATACTAAAACAAAGTCGAAAAAACAAGTGACATACAGGCATTTCATGTTCGACATTCAATGATTCTAATGAGAGATGACACTAAGTCTAAACTCTTCTCATTAAAAGGAGACATACATTATATAAAAATATCTATTGATGTATGATTGTTTTCATAAATGTCAAAATACAACCCTTATTATGAGTAGATTTCTATACCTATCCGCTAGTTGGTCGATCTTTCCCTAAAATTTATGATAGAATTACGTTGTCTGTCATCTGATCTATATAAATAGTATAGAATATATAATGTGTAGTCGGAATATAGGGTTTCATATAAGACAAACAAGTCAAAAAAAATTATTTAACATCATTGAAATCAGAAATGAAATGAATGGAATAGATCTTTTTCTATCATGTTCAAACATTTCAATTCATTTTCGTTCCAATTATCAACAGACAAGTTCAATAAAATTATGTTTATGAGATAAAATATTATATTTGACTATATTTGTGATAATAATCAAACTGCATACGATTTCATGTACGCTTAGTCTGGGTTTGTTGAACAAACGACTATGGTTACGTTAGTGTCTAATAGAGAGTGAACGGAAATTAACCATCTCATCAGCGTAAAAAATAAAAAAAATTACACGACAACGAAGAAATAAACAAATTGTATTTTTGATTTAGAAGTTATGAACGTAATGAAATTTTGTTAATTATCGGATTCCATGTTCAATCAGATCATAATTTTCTAGTAAATTTTGTCAAAAAGATGAAGTCCTGGCATTCTAATTTTCAAACGAAATTTTCACATGATTTGCTTAAGCTATTAGGATAGACATGGAAAGGAATGAAAGCTTCCTTCTGATGCCGAATATCGGTTTTCTATTGATGAATTTTCAAATTTCGTAAAAGAAATTGAGTAATTTTCCGCACGTCAACCACGATAAAGCAAGCAGGTATTTTTGAAAACAAACTCATAAGTGAATATATCTGTTCAAGATTTTTGATTTAAGTTAAATGAAACTGAATTCACAGATCTTTGAAAACTTTTTTGATTCTATTTATCTCAACTCATGAGTTAGGAAGTTTTTCTTTCAATTTGACTCAATTCAATTCGAATCATGTATTGAATTGCCTGGTTATGAATCGAACGTATAATAACATGTAAATATATACGACAAAAAAAATCATTCTACTTTTAAGAAACTCATCTAACTACTGCGCATTCTGTGAAAGTAACATATATGAAGATGGTTTTTCAGATTTCGAACAATCTTGAACCTTTATTTGTATTTTTCGAATATTTGAAGTATCATTTAAAATTGTCTATACTGAATTGATATCATTATTAAAAATATGTGTTATTGAAAAATATGTTAGAATATATTTATCAATTTTGTTTTTGTTAGGATAAGAACAATATTAGTCGCACACACTCACTGTGGGTCATTTTTATCATTGTGTTCTTAAATAGATTTAAACATGATTTTTTTTACATGATGAACATGAAAATATAATAAAAAAGAATGAATAAATAAATTTGATAAAGTTATTTAAATATTTTTACTAATAATGTACTCTCTTAGCAAGAACTGAGGTGATTACAATACTCGGTAGCTTGTAGATGAATGCAACAACGAGAACGAAGTCCCGTTATTTTCTAATGAAGAAAAAACAAACATCTACTTCAAAGGAACACTAAATGCAACAAAAAAGTAGAAAGTATTTTTCTAGTCGCAAATTATTTCTTGATAGTTTTTGGAACATTACCATCAGAAAATATTGCATTAGGATAAATAATATTGCTAAAGGTATTCTCTTTTAAGTGCATGCGGTTCGTCTGATTTCACTGATTTTAATGATTTTCGTTTGATACTCGTTGAATTGATAAATTTTCTATCAATTGATTTCTTTTCTCGTTGATTTAAGCCATCAAATAGATTAAACTTCAAGAATAGAAATTAAACGATAGCTATCGATCGATCACTTTATATTGTGCTACTATAATTTATTGTAAAGCGACAAAATAAAATTTGGATTTTCTCTTACGCGATAATTAAGTAAAGTACAGAACAGGCCTCAAAATCGGATCACTTTTTGATGGTCCGACCCTGCCCAATTGAAAATGGTACTATTAAAAGTATATTTCTTTTACAAAAAGAATTTCTACAAGATGCCACTCCATGATCACTGCAATAATTTGCTAGAACATAATAAAAAGTTTATTATTATAGTGATCACAAGTTGAGTAAGGTGGACAATTTTAATGCTTGAAAAAGGCTTGTTAGAGCAGTTCCTTTGTAGTTGACATGTGGAACTTCTATGTCTTCTTTAGACTCATTATACTAATACAATTATTTCTGCGTTTGAAATAGAAATGTTTCCTATTTTTATTTTGAACCGAAAAGCCATGATACGTTTGCGAATACATCAGCTTTTTATTTTTTTTAGTTATTTTGTCAATTTTAGTATACAGTTAACACTTCTGTTTTAATAACACTCATGTCACTTAATACAGTTAATAATGCATTTGGTGTTAAGCGTAGATGAGCAGTGTCATCGAACCAAATAAATGCTCTGCTTATTTATTGCCTAAATGAAATTTCCGCGATACTCGCATGATAAAGATTCCTGATTGTTATCGGTTGTGAGGTACGAAACCCATAAAAGAAACTCTGATCAAGAATCAGAATAAAATCGATTGTTTTTAAGTAAAACTCGATTAAAATGGTGCTGTTTAATTTTGATTCAAATCTGATTCTTCTACTTTAAAGGTAAACTTCAATTGGTTTCAAAGTTGAAGAAAAAAACGAGTTTTTATCGTATTTAATTAGTATCATTTTAATCAATTTTTTAGTTAGAAAAAAATCGATTAAAATCAGATTTCTTGCTATTTTCTAATGTGGAAAATCTTCCTTGAAAAAAGAAATAAAGTTAGGGCTGGACGGCCCATTTCGAGATCTGTTGGGTAGCTAGAAAAATAACGAGATCTATAAGAATTCAATATGAAGAAATTCGAAGAACATTTCATGAGAATCTC